CTTCATTTACCTTACTATTTGCGTAATACAAAACATAATATAAAATACATATAAAAAAAATTTATATAAAAAAAAAACAAAAGCCGGGTGACCGTGTCAATTTTAAAATTTTATGTCACGAGAATCTAAAAATTTTTTTTGCCCGGCCTAATATAGATATATTAGTTTATTCATTTTCTTTCCAAAAATAATTTTTCATTAAACAAATTATAGATTTTATCTTCAAATTTCTAAACTTACCCAATTGGGTAATCAAATTAGGTAATATTTTTTAAAAAGTTCCGAAAAAAAATTATTCTATTAAGGATTAGCGCAAATTTTATTCGCCTAAATTAATGCAAATAATAATACAAATGTCATGTGCATTGATTCATACAATTCATATATATATATCCAATGTACGAGAAAAAATAAAAAAAAATTTTATATCAGTAAAAATGAATTTTAGTGATTTTATTGGAAAACAGCGTAAATCAGAACCTAGCGCGGTTCTAATGATGCGTATAATCATTATCATTATAATTTCATCGTGCTTAATAGCATATATTGCAATTTTAATCAATGACGTAAATAGGGAAATTCCTGCAATTAAAACTTCGAAAGTTCCGGTAGACACTCTCTCAATTCCCGGTAATTATAATTATTATTTTTTTTTTTTTCATTTTGTCGTTTGGCTTTGTTAACCATAAAAAAATTTTATGTAGATGTCCTAATTTCATTTGATCATCCTTTTCACATTTATTGTACTTTTGTATGGTATATTAATGGTATTTAAATCTCGAAATCGTACCAGAATTTTGATTGATTGATTGGTTGATTTATTTTATTTTTTTAGGATATTATTCTAGAAATGATAGCGAATCTTGTATGCAATACATCACACAACCAAATTATGTTGACAAGACATATACTGGATATTTTTCTTTAAATGACCAATCACAGTACTTTACTCCCATGAAATCTGATGAAGAATATTTTGAATCTTTGGCAATTGTGGTTATTATTGATGACCCAAATTTTATTTACAGACCATCATTTTCTTCCGTACCTTTCGCAATAATTTTCGATTCAGGTAAGTAATATAATAATATTTTTTATAATTATTAAAGATATATCAAAGTTAATATTCTTTTTTTTTTCAAAAAATTTATTAGAGAATAATCCTATTAAATTATCAGATGGTACATTAGATTTATCAAAGACAAATTTTTCTATTGATGAAAATGAGATATTAATAAATAATGCGTTTGTATTGACAGATAGAATGGTATATGAATATTTATTATTTTCTTTTATGAGTAAAAAAAAATTGTTTTTCAGACGTTAAATTTTCTTTAATACAACAACAAAAAGTTCTCTTTAGTGAATTTTACGAAACATAAAAAATTAAGTATAATTCCAAATTGGATAAGTGATATTGGATTATCTTTCAAACACAAAGAAAGTCTTTATGTTAATACAAAGTTTGTTCGTAAGTAATTTGTTACTCTTATCAATGAAAAAAGAATTTAAATATACTTATTAAAAGAATACTCTTTAATCGTTTAGAGGGAGTTTTTGTTGCCGAAAGCGAACATTTAAGTGGAATTAAAGTTAAACCTGAAACCTTTATTAATTATATTGAAACCGAACAGATGTATTATTGATTTTTTTTATTTTGTTTTTACAAATATTTTTTTTAAATTTGTCAAACTAATTTTACTTTTTTCATCTCATTTTTTTTTTTAAAGATCTATTACGGTAAGTATTTTATAATATATTTAACATAGATATAATATCGATATTGTTTTACAAATTTTAATTAATAATTATATAATAGTACTTGGGTATAATTGGAGTTATAGGAGGTAAGTAATGATTTAAAAATCTGTACACGAAATAAGATACAACGATTTAATCTAATTTCTTCTAACGCAGGTGCTTGGGGATTAGTTGTGTCATTTTATGCTTTTCTATTTGGTAATATATCATTGGCATTTTCAATGTAAAATTTCATTAGTGACTAATTTCTAATAACCTATTAGGCGAATCATCGATCCATCCGTGGGGTTTTATACAATTTTATTGTTGTGGAATTAAGCCAAAAACTCAAAGCAAATTAAGAGAATCATTATCTATCTTGCCATTAACTGAATCTTCCTTACATAGTACAACAAACGAAATTTCTATGGAAGAAAGGTTGAGAGCTTTAGAAATTTTATTAAGAGAATATGTTATTGATGTAGAATACTTGCAAAGAATTGAAAATACTAACAGAAAAGTAGTGACCCAAAATAAGAATTGAGGCATTCTCGTTTACGCTTGCTTACTAAATTTGACCGAGAATAGAATTCGTTTAATGCCCATCCACACATGTACAGTACTTCCTTTTTTGACATTTTTGTCACATTTATATCACTACCCCCGAACTTTAACCTTGTATATTAATTGGATTATAATCTGGATTATTGGAAGGAAGGTTTCATTTAAGAATTGCTTGTGTTGGATCATTTGTCACAATTTTAAAGTTTCATAATTTGAAAAGATTGACCGATTGCTCTTAAATCATTTGCTAGAATTATCAACTTTAGAATTCAACTTTTCTTTATTCATTTATATACACATCACAAATTATTAAATTTGGAAAATAAAAGGTTTACCGATTTAATTTAAATAAATAAAAGATCCAATCGGGCGGAACAACTATAAAATACGTCAAAATGAATATTTTCGGTAAACTATATATGGACGTATTTTTAGAGATTATATAATTTATGAATCTATATTCTCAAATAAATAAGTGATTATGAGAGAATCAGAAAATGAATTAACAAAAATTAATTTTGCTTGGAAAACAGCGTAAATCAGAACCTAGGGTGGTTCTTGTAATGCGTATATTTATGATACTTATAATTTCATCATGTTTAATAACATATATCGTAATTTTAATTGTTGATGTGAATGATGAAATTTCTGTGATTAAAACCTCGAAAGTTCCTGTGGATTCACTCGCAATCCCCGATAAAAAAAAAAAAATTTCACTAAATATAATGTTACTAATGTCATAGATTTCACATTATCATTCAATTTTTTCTTTTAAAATTTTGTGCTCATATATGTGGCTTGAAAATGGTATTTATATTTTTACAATGCGAAAATGTTCCAAGTAATTTGATTAAATTAATTTTTATTTTTAAGAATTTCAAGTTAGAAAGGATAATGTATCGTGTACGCAGCAATAGTTTCTCCAAGATATCTTAAAGGAATATACAGAGGATATTTTTCTTTAAATGATCAATCACATTTATTTACTTTTTCGAAAGAAAATGAAGAACGGTTAGATTCCTTGGTACTGTTGTATTCAGTTCTTTCGTTTATGTATTTATAAACAATTTGTAAATGTAAGCAGAAGGTTTTATTGATTAATTGTTGAATAAAAATGAAGTAATTATTACAAGAATTTATTTAATATGTCAAATGTAATCAGTGTTGCCTCAACGTCAGCGCTCTACACTTTCGCTTTTTCAATATATTAAACTATGTAAATGCCAAGTCATAAATTCTAACTACGCAATTACGAAACTGTTACATAAAAATTATATAATAAACTACTAATAAAATCGGAAATTAAAAATGAAATAATAAACTGTGTTACAAAATGCGAAATTATAAAATTTTAAAGGGCGAAAAGCGAAATTATCGCGAAGGTGTAAAGGGAAGATTGCGAAGGGAATGATTTTCAAAGAAATATATTAAAGGCGGGCGTGGATATTGAGCTGTTTTAGGATTTCTGGCTCGTATTTATAAAAGATTATTAATTAAGCCAAACTGGCATCTTGACAAACTGGCACCGGCAAATGATCGTCAAAGGGACCAACTACAATTATCAAGAGCGATCTTCAAACGAAATTATGAAGATTTCGGCCGGAATTTGCATTTAATCGTAACAGTACTAACGATCCAAGTTTTAATATTTCTACGATCACCACTTCTCTTTTCATGCCACCTAACATACAAATCCTTGATTCTGGTGAGAAAAATCTTGGATACCTTTTATAGCTTAAAAAGTATCGGTATTGAATTTTTTTTTTTTTGTTTAGAAAATAACCCTATTAAATTATCAGATGTACATTATATTTATCAATGTTGAACCTATCTCTGATAAATGATGAACGAGTATTAACTGATAATTGGTTTATAATTCCAAATAAATGAAATAAATGGTAGATTTTATTTTACAAACTTTTTCCTTTTAGTGGTAAAAAAAAAAATTCAAATGTGAATTTTATTCCCCACCCCCTTTTAAGATTTCTTTTTTGAAATATAAAAAAGAAGCATTATTCCAAGTTGGAAAAATAATTTTGGAATGTTTTTAAATTATAAAGAAAGTGCTTGCATTAAAACAAAGTTGGATCGTAAGTAATTAATTAATATATATATATATATATATATATATATTGAATTAGAAAATGTATCAACTTATTAGCGATAATTTTTTAATCGTATAGAAACATATCCTATCGATAATGATGAAATTCCAGATGATCCTTATTTTAGTATTGCTTTTTTTCGACCAAGTTCATTTATTGATATTATTGAAATTGATCAAAGGTATGCTTTAATTGTCAAAAAAAAAAAAATTTAAATTTTTAAAAAGATCGAGTACGGTGAGTTTTCTGATTTTCTTCATGATAATTTTTTTTTTTAACTAATTATGTGTGTACTTGGGCGTTATCGGAGTTATTGGCGGTAGGCATGTTGATTATAAAAACTTAAGCTAATGTATACACGAACTTACTCAAAAAACAGGGTGCATGGGGACTAGCAGTGGCATTTTATGGATTTTTATTTGGTAATTAACCCATTTTAAGAATTTTTTTTGAAATAAAAAATATCAGAAATGACAACTTCTCGTAACTTATTAGGCGCATCATTAATCCATCCATGGGTTTTATATAATCACATTGTTGTGGAATTAAGCAAAAATCACAAAACAAGTTAAGAGAATCGTTGTCTGTTTTACCATTAGTTAATTCTACCTTGTATATAGTACGACAAAAGAAATTTCTGTAGAAGAAAAATTGAAATCTTTAGAAACTTATTAAGGGAATAAGTTATTGATATAAAGTACCTACAAAGCATTGAGAACAATGAGATTAGAAACGATCCAAAATGAGTATGATAGTGTAGTGTTATGAATAGTTTAAAACCGATATTTGGCATTCGAATTTAAATCCGGTTTCTTCCGATTCGAATTTACATTTTATCCAGATATAATAAATCCGGTTCCTTCGTTTCATTCGTATATAATAAATCCAGTTCCTTTGTTTCATTCAAATATAAATTTAATTTATTTATTTTATTATAGTTAATCGATAATATTTTTTAATGTACTGCATTATATTATACATGTTTAAATAAAGTACCGAAAAATTAAATTCGTAATTATAGGGATCTACAAGAAATTCAATTTTGGAAATTAAGGACTATAAAAATTTTTTTGCGAGATTAACAAAGTCCTACATTTAAGTATTTTAAAATATATTATTATCAAGTGAATTTATATTTAAGGCTATAAAACCATTTTATTAAACTATATAAATTGTTCATATACATAAATGCTAAGAAATTCCATTATTTTATTAAACTAATTAGATTCTAAAGGAGAAAATATATTAAAATAAGCACTATTACAGTTTAAAAATAACATATGATTTACTAAATCTGGAGACAATTGTGTTCTTTTTGAAGAAATATGATCATCTGCATCAGAAAAAGAGACGTTCACTAGGTACAAGTGTAGCAGGAATTGAAAGTTACTTTCGAGCTAATTTGTATAAAATAGGATATAAAGGTTTAGGCGAAACCTGATAATTACGCCTGATCTGAATCTGAAATCTAGGCGATATTAGTTACGCCTCAACAAAAAATTTCTGAAATGTCCGATTGAGTCCAATACTGCCCAAATCTGAAATTCAATCCGAATTAATTGAAATTCTCTGAAACTTAATTATTCACCATGAAAATCAAATATATAACATTATTGGTAAGACAAACATTAATGCATTTGCATCTTACAAAATGGAGGCTAATTCATGTACTTTAACCGATGATACTTCATTGCTTAAACGAAAAGTTAGTGGAAAACCTAAATCAATAGTTTGGAAAACATATATTCAACAAGAAAAGCAAATTTCAAAAGGTTATTGGAACACAACATGTAATTTTTGTGGAGACTTTTGATATAAAGACTTACCAGCAACTCTTGAAGACCACTTAGAAAATTTGTGTGTAAAAGTTCCAGCAGAGATTCGGAACTTTTTTTTAGAACGTTTAGCAATAAAAGCAGGTGAAACTAGTGAGCCTTCTTCAAAAAAACGAAAACTTGATTACCAACCATTTCAGCTAACTCAAACAAAACTTTTTGATTATATTGAAAATACTAAACTTACATCTGAACGTACTAAAAAGATAACTCGCGCATTATTAAAAGCATTTATTATTTGTGAAATTTCTTTTCACATTATTGAAAATCCATTCTTTATTGAACTGTTAAAAACTTTACATTCGGCATATGAATCTCTATCAAAAAATGTTCTTTTTAGATAATATTAAACGCAAGAAACAGCTTTTATTAATCAAGAAATAATTAAACAATTAAAAAATTCTGAGAATCTAACGTTAGGTAAGTTT